ATGGCTAGATTACATGTGTTCAAAGATTCAACAATCTCAAATTAATTCAAAATGAAGGGAAAGTGACTGGACATTTTGGGTGCTAGGTTTTAGTAAAATCATTTCCTTCACTGACTTTTGTCAAACAGCCAGGTGAATTAGGACTCCCCATGCACAAAGCCCTATCGACTTCAATGTCATGTTATTCCTCTCCTTTCCTAACTACTAATCTCTTTGTAAATGGCACAGGAATCTTATACTGACTCTTTTGTTAGTTTTGTTTTTCCTGTATCTGGAAACTCTGGAAAAAGACTGAAAATTTCTGCACTCTGAATTTTCTCCAAGAATATTAGAAATATCTATTATTTACTTATAAAATAACTGGAAATTCAAAATGTATGGCAATCTATTTACCAAGAATGAAAATATACAAAAATGGCCTTTTAAAAGACTCCCATATACTTTGGGAGCCAGGAAGACTAGAATAGTGGTTTTCTGTGGCTGATCCACTTAATCTCAGTACCTGAGAGCAGCTATCTTAAGCATCAGTATTTCAGAAGGTATTAACAACTTTGCATTGGTAGGTAAATGTTTCTGGAAAAAGTGACTCATTTTTATTTTGAATAAACATTTTTAACTCTTCCATAGTGCTCAAATAGCAACTGTGAAGATTTCTTAATGCTTGAGAAGGCAGTAACATTTCTGATTATATTTTTCTTCTTAATTTCATATATACTTACATACATTCTTGGAAAGAACTGAAGTCATCAACCTGAGCACCAAAGACAAGGTATGCCAACTGAGCATATGCTAAGAATATAATGAAGAACATAATGGCAAAGCCAAAGAGGTCTTTGGCACACCGAGACATAGTTGTAGACAGTTGGCTCATCGTCCTGTTAAAATTGATGAATTTGAAGAGCTGTAAAAGAGGAAAGACAGTGACAGGTGAATAGATAAACACAATGTGGCACATATATACAATAGAATATTATTCTGGCACAAAAAAATGGGATTTGGGTACATATTACCATGCAGACCTTGAAAACATCATTCCCAGGGAAACTATGTGTCATGAAAGGCCAAAACTGTACCATTGCACATATATGAGGCACTTAGATTGGTAAAATAAATAGAAAGCAGAAAGTATGTTACCAGGGGCTGAGGTGAGGGGGAGATGAGAAGTTAGTGCTGATGTGCACCTTAGGGTGCTAAGGCTCTGGTAATGCACAGCGGTGATGGTGGCCCCACACTGTGCATGTCTTTCATGCCACAGCTCTCCACGTTTTAAAATGTGACAATGGCAAGTTTTGTGTTATGTGTTTTAACCACAGAAAGACCAAAAGAGAGAGGACCGAAAGGACTTGGTTTTATTGTTTTCCAAAACCAGCTCTTCTATTCTTTTATTCCAAAAGGGTCTGCTAAGTCCCTAACCCATGACAGGATCTGTTCTTGGAGTTGGAAGCAGGGAACAGAACACAGCTGCAGCCTCATGTGGTCACATTTTCCAGGATGATTAACATATCATGGAAAAGGGCTTCCTCACAGTTTCAATGACTAGTGATATTTTTCCTCAAAAAAGGATTAAAATGTAAAAGAAAAATCTCTAACAAATAAACACCACAAAACATTTCAGGAAATACTATTTGTGTATCAGTAACTATATTTTATTTGGGCATCAATTATGTGGCAATGGTTTTCTCATATAGCTGAGTAAGCAGCCTGAGAAACACAAGGTGAGGTCTATGCCCTCTGTTAAACCTCAGTGCTTCCAGGGATAAATATAAATTCAGGAAAGCACACAACTCCTGGTAAGCACCTTCCTCAACAGCTGTTCAAGAGAAACTTCTGTGATGGTAGAAATGTTCTACTAGTTCCATTTCCTAAAACAGTATACACTATTAACATAGAGACATTAAGCATTTAAAATGTAGTTAGTGGGACTGAGGAACTGAAATTTTTATTACATGTAACCTTAATTAATTGAAAGTGAAATGTAAATAGCCACTTGTAGCCAGCAGTTATTATCTGTACAGCACAATCAGAACTTGAGCTGGTCACACCAGGTTGATGGCTGCTTCAAAATTAATGAAATTTCCTGCATCGCCAAAAATGAGGCTCACTGTACATAAAAATGTCCTAACCTTTCACACACCTGAAAATACACATTACGTTTTGTGAAAGAGGGAAATGAGTAAATTAGGTCCTCCTTGGAGGAAAGGTCTGTCCCAGCTGACGTTCTGGGTAAAGCTTCCCTCTGGCCTCCTGGAACAGAGCAGATTGTTCTAACAAGCATTTCCAGGTCCAGCATCTCTCCAATTCCTACAAATGATCCCCTCTCTCAGATCCTTTTCCTCCCCTGGTCACATTACATTAAGTTAAAACTCAGATCTGCCCCAGTGTTAGGGTAACCTGGTCCCCCAGGCCCAACTAACACTGAAAAGGCCTCTTTTGTTTGTGTTAAATGACATCTAGAGGATCTGATCTTGAAAGAATTCTGGCAGTAGAAGTAGCATCATCCATAATGAGAGGAACCATCCCATGAGTCCCACTAGTTTTTCTTGATATAAATTATGGAGCAGCTGGCCACAGAATTTGCCCCAAAAAAGGCAAGTTCAAGTCCTTTAAAATTTTGTGTGACTCGTATTAATTAAAGGAAGAAAAAATAATACTAAAAACCCAAAACACGTTTGGAATCAATTACCTTAATCCACACAAAAAATACTGTGACAGCAGCTATATTGTTGAATTGTATTTGCCAATATGCCAGATGCTCAAAGTTGGGGAAAGTATTCTGGTCTTCCAGAAAGTGAAGTAGACCCTCCACATTTGATGTTCGATATAAGCTAATTCCTATAGCCATCACCGAGAGCTGGAAAACAAAAGGCTTATATTTTATTATACTGTTTTCAAAGAAGCTTACCTTATAATGAGTAGTTCATTTTTCTTCACCATGTATAGATGCCACATCTGGCCAATATGCACACCCAATGGCATTCATAAAAGTCACACACTCAAATGGCAATGCTTGGCACTGCCATAAAAGACATACACAATATATATTGCTTGTATTTCCTTACTTAGGAACAGAAATCTAGTAAGTGCATGTGTCCATGGGCCTGTGCATACAATGAGTACCCACAGATGCACCCGAGATGTCACTATAACAAACCCAAACTCGAGAAGGAAGGCCTTCTGATCATTTTGCCACCCACATATAAATCATTTTCTACCCCTCTCTTCTCTTTCCCTGATTTTTCTGGTTTTAATTTTATTTTTTATTTTTTAAAATTTTCTTGTGTGCCTCTTCATTCTCCAGTTTCTAGCCATCCATTCTTTCTCTTCAGATATGCACATATACAACAGTGTCTGGGCCAGGAAGAACACATGGAAGTGAACTTGTGGTAAGCTCCACTCCCCAAAAACTCACACTCTTAATTCAAGACAAGATAAACACACAAAGCTAAATAATACAAAAAGTTCCTAAAGAGTTGGCATCACACAACATGAGGTGAAGCAGAAACCAGACACACTGAAAAGGAGTGCACAAAAGAGGACAGAATGTGCTTGGTCTTAGAATATGGTGGGAATGAAGGTCAGAGAGGCTAAAGGAAACTTGCAGTGAAGTATGTGAACAAACTGGTTCCTTCTTAATCATGGCTATCTCTGCATTTATAACATACAACTTTTCACATGTTTCTTGGGTCTGAGCTATACAAGATTGGAGGGAACAATGGCCCCTTCTTGCCACCCACCACCACTGGATTAATGTGTGTTATGTGAACAGTTCACTGTAGTATCTGTGCTTTTCTGTGGGATCTGAGTCTGCACTACGTGGGCTGTGACAGGGTCTTTGACCTTCTTTGTTCTTTCCCTCTACTTTGAATGATGGCCAAAGATCACTTCATTAGACCTTCGTGAGAGAACAATCCAGACAGGTGATTTTCATAGGAAAGTCCCACCTGGATGACAATCACAGCTAAAAAGCCAACCTCACTTTTCTTATCAGTGAAGGATTTCCAGATACAATCTTGAACTTTTGTGCTGATGGTAGGAACATTTTCTTAGAGCTCTCTGAAAATGTTCTTGTACATTGACTCATCTGAGAGGGATAAAGATGCTGGGGTTTGTCAAACAAATCCAACAATAACCCTCTACACAATTCTCACATGGTACAATTTGCTACCTAGTCCAGATGTTTTTACTCCACACAGGAGAAATGTTCATAAACACATGGAAGTAGTGGTTGTTTATACAACATCAATATCATGTTATATTAATTTTCCTTGGAACACTTCCTCCAAAATAGTGAATAAAAGAAGAGAGGTGAGGAAAGAGGTTTGTGAGCATGTGGGTTGTTAGGTTACTCCTGATTATCTCTGGGATTCTCACCCACATCTACAAAAGACCTTTCTCTCCATATTAGAATGTCAGCATTATAAGAGCAGAGGATTTGGTTATTTTATTTGACTCTGTATCTCCAGTGCCTGGAAAAGTGCTATACATAGTAGATGCTTGGAAAATATCTGTTGAATAACGAAACATCTTTGCTCTGAGACACAGCAATCAACATTATTTTAATTTAGTCCTGTAAATTATCTTTTTTCAATATTTCTGCTAGCTACAAAATACTGTAGCCTAGGACAATTGACTGACTGACATAAACCTGTAGACTTCAGAGTATTTGCTGCAGAAATAGAATGAGAAAAGAGTGAAAACAATTTCAAAGTAACAGCGAGATGAGATCCTTAAAATGTAATTTTTTTTTTCAGGTTTTAAGGTGAACTCAAACAAATTTAGGCTAGATGACAGAAATCCTTGGCTCAGGGTACATTTGGGGATGAGTAGGAAGCATGTCCTTATTTCTAGATGGTGAAAACATTTTCAATAAGAAGGTGAATTGCAATTGTCCTTCCCTGTTCTATATGAAGTACAGTCTCAACTGTGTCATGGCACTACTCAGAGTTAAACCAAAACAAAGGAAAGCAGGAAAAAATTTTGAAAAGATACTTGCAAAATGTTGTGACTGCTAAGATACAGAAATAATCTTTGACCCACACATCTCCCCATCTATTTTCCCCAGGTGTCCATAGTAGGTACAAGGCAACTCACTGGAGTGTGGCATAAAAACTTGTAGGTATATAAGAAGAAAGTGCTCAAATTCTCTTTGTATTAATTTTTATATTACTCTTCTAAATTCTCCCAATACGCTCCAGAGAATGCGCGCGCGTGCACACACACACACACACACACACACACACACACACACACAATATACTATAGTATTCAGTCAAAGTTTTCACTGATAGAAATACAAGTTAAAAAACAATGAATCCTACCAACTAGTCTTTTGTCAATACTGAAGTCATCTGGTTAAAAGAAATCTGTTATGTTAGTATAATATCACACTTACCTTTTTGCCGTTATTCTCAATAACAAATAAATTTATAAAAGTCCAAAAAGAGAGTTTCCATCCTTAAGGGTTACAAACAATAACTGTGTTCCAAAATAATTCTTACTGTATAGGGTCTGTAGTCTGCCCTCCCTTAGTAGAGAATATTTTGAAAAATTATTTCCAGAATTGTTGCTTCTCCTACTTCCTTAAGTACTGAAATTCGTTTGTAACTCTGCTCATTATTAATACATTGGAAATGTGGGGGACAACTCCTGTTACCTTGATTTGTGTGGGCTGTGTGATGTTACACAGCCATCATGAAAGAAGGAGGCAGTTTTGACTGCACTAGGTTCCAGACTGCAGCTATTCTGCATGAATTTTTTTCTAAGTATGACCTTTTTCTGTAGCACAAATGTATATGGCTCCAGAAGCAGGTGCAGAGTGGTTAAGAGGATTAATGGAAAAGTTAACTAAGCTTTTGTGTATGAAAGCACTTGGAAATGCTCAGAACACAGTAGCTTCTAATGAGCAGACTGTTGTTATAATGATTGGTACTAATATTGTTCATTACCATGAAACACATACCTGGGCAGTTTTACTTATGCCTAAAGTGTCCTTTCACTGAGTGACATGTTTTTTAACTAATACTAATAAGAAATGATTTAATACTGACTTGATGTAAATGCTTCACAAAAGCCAAAAAAAGTTTTGGGAGAGGAGCAAAGGAAAGAATAACTGTCACCAGGAAGGCTAAGACAAGAGTGAGTGCCAACAGGATAATGAATCATTTCCTGAGATTTCTGAGGTTCATTTCTATGCTAGGCAGTGGGCATAGAACAATATATAAACAGAAAAATATGACATCAGTTTGCTATTCAAAATTTTAAGCACGTAATAATTAGATGCATTATTACATGGCTAAATGTGTAACAAAACTTAAGCAAAGGCTGACTATTTTTGCTGAAGGAAGACACAAGTTTGATAATTCATTTTTACACTGAGGCCTCTGCAAGGAAGTGATTAATTAATTGACTCCAACGAAGGGAAAACAAATTGAACAACTGTTAGAAGCTAAAATACAGTCAAGGGCAGGCACAACATCTAAAAGTTGTTTTAGTCTTGACTATGTAACTGTGCTTCATGATTTCTTGTACCTTATACAGAGAACTTTGATGGGCATGACTTAAATTTTGTTCTCTGTGGACTATTCATAAGAAATTCTTAACCTAAGAAGGTTTACTCTTTCACTCAAAATATTTTCAGGATGTTCCTTCTTGCCATAACTTGACACATAGGCAGAAAAATGTAAATAATTTTTTAATAGAAGTTGAACCCCAAATAAATAATTTTATCTCCTATATCTCATATGGCTGGCCACAGTCAAATAGTAATTGCTGAGTTATTCTCATGATTAGTGTGGTTATTTGAGAGCTCACTGTAAATGCCCCTCTACACCATAGTTAGTAATGTCTCACATGCAAAATAATTTGTAATGCAGAAGTGGATGTAAGAGAGAGGACATTTTAGATTTTCTTCTGGAAATATCAAGATCCACAGTTCTGAGGAGATCAAAGACTGTAATTAATATGCTTTTGGGATAAGGTGGGGAAATTGGTATTGCTTTTCAACCTACCACAATGATCACAACATCCAGACAATTCCAGAAACTCCTGAAATATTGTAGTTTGTGAATGCGAATTTCCAATATCTCTTCCACGACATAATAAAGGATAAAGAAACAAAAGATAATCTCACAGGCTGCCAGGAAGAAATCAAAAGTGGTGACGTAGCGAATCAGCTTTACAGGTTGAAATTGCCAAGAGGGAACCACACCGCCTGTTGCTGGGAATTCAACCAATAACCTGCATGGCAATAAGAACAATTAAAACAACTACAGCACAGGGTTCTAGCCAGAAGGGTGTTTCTTCCTTCTCTGAATTACAAGGTAATAAATCTGCTACCATAGCTCACCCAAGCTAGTGGCAAATCATTTTTTTTATGGCCAATACCAACACACTTGTAGAATCTTGTACTAAAAAAGGAACCAGAATTCCCAAGACCTGTATCCAAAAGATTCCTTTCTCTTTAGGCTTCCCTTTATATTTTCTGGCATTTGTACTGTTTAAAATACTGTACATTTTTTTTTAATGGATAGTTACTCAACAAAGAAATCTTTCTAATGCTACTATAAGGTGCAAGTCATTTTACTAGGTAGCATGAAGAAAACCCAAATACAAAATATGCACTAAAACATAGGATAGGGTTGAGAAGTAGGGTATATATTTTGCAATATGTGAAGATAGGCCTGAGCATCACATTCATTCATTCATTTACTAGGTAATGCCTAATTAGCACCAGATACTTTCCTCCAGGGTACTTTCTTTCCCCTCCCCAGTGCTTTGGGGTTCACAGGCTCTCAATCACGGCCTATTGTCTGAAGCAGTAACATGTTTTCACTCATACTGATGGCACTGATAATCAGTGCTTTCCTATGACTGAACTAAAATTCCCATTTTACAGTTCTCACATTAAGTAAGTTAAATGATTCACTTAATGGTACCATTTTCCTATCAAATTAGAAACAGAATCTTTAACTCCATGATTTCAGACATTTAAAGGCCCTTGTGAAGCTACTAGGCATCGCTATCTCCTCTGGTACAGGTAGGACTAGAGAGTAGCAATGAGGACCACAATTTCGAGAGAGCAATATGGAGAGCAGAGCCTGGAGACAGACTCAGAGTCAACTGTAAGGGGAAGGAAGTGGCTCTGTGTCAAGTCATCTCTCTCTGACCCATTCTGGCTCTGTACTTGGCAACCACTTCCAGAAAATTAGAAAACTATACAGGAAAATGGAGTAACTGGCCTTGATGGTCATCACCCTTAAAGTCTGGGAAGGACATACTAAGACTAAGTGAGAGATAGAGCTAGAATTTTTATAGATAGACATTGACTTAAATGTTGGCTGCTTGCCTATTTTTATCCTCTTCTAATTCTCTTGGAATCATTAGGGAAAGTTCACCTCAGGTGCCTTTGGTGAGACTTAAGCATGAGCAGGAATCCATAAGGTATAGCCCCTGACACTGTCTATGTACTAATAGCTTGGGCATCATCTGAGAGTGGGAAGGTCAGGGAAGGGAATTTATGTTTGACAGCCTTGGAACATGTAATGGAGCACGTAGCTCTGATCATCCTCATAATGGCTGAGGATAGGTGTTAGAAAATCAGATGCTTTTTCTGAAAAGGGTCTGAACTGGGATGAACTTGGACTAGATTTAAGGTTCTTTCCAAATCATAATATTCTAGGATCATAAATCCCTTCCTGAAATTTCCATGTCCCACTAAGACTTCAGTTTTCACCCCTGCCTTGTTATTGGCCTGGATCCTCATTTATAAGGCCACAGGCAAGAGTTGTTTGGCCTATCTCCAAAATAGGATATACAGGCACTCCCCAGAGTTGGGAGCACTGTGTGCCCTCAGTACACACCTGACCACGCAGAACAGGTTAATGTTGGCATTGTACACTGAGAAGTCAATAAAAGTGGCCCTGGTTCCTCGGTCCAACCAGACATTTTTCCTGAGGCTAGTAATCTGGGCAGCTGTTTCCTCTCTGGTTCTTGACAAATCCAGGTAATAGCCAGCTCCACTGTAAGATGCGATTATTCCCCAGTGGCTACTCCCATTCAAGTCTTTTTCACTTGTGTAGATCCAACTAATTTAAAAAACAAAAACAAACAGGTAAAATCAGTGAAATACCAATGGCAGTTACAAGGTTCCTGATAAGATAAGGATAAGAAAGATGGTGGAGTGAGATGGACATCATTACCCTAGGTACATGTATGAATGCATGAATGGTGCGTCTCTACACTGTGCACAACCACAGAATTGAAATATTGCACTCCATTTGTGTACAATGAATTGGAAATGCATTCTGTTGTCATGTACAACTAAGTAGAACAAATAATTTTTTTTAAAAAAGAAATAAGTCTTATCATACTGAGTAATACACTTGATGTGGTACTTCATTAGTGTTTTCTTACTGAATTGTCATACAGTTTTTAGCCCCAGTAAGGCATTGAGGGTCCTAAGGATTACTGAGATCAATTTAGTCCCAAAGTTTTTGATGGTAGAGTTGAGAATACACAAGGGTCTGTCTGTCCACAGAGCCTCTGCCATCAGTCCCGAGTTCCCATTGCTACTTTCCCTGATGATTGTCTATACTCAAGGACTACATGACCCCAAGTCCCCAGTGAAAATCACAGATAAAAGGGGACAAGTCCATCCTGTGTCTTGCTATGTGGTCTCCATTTTTTCCATATAAAATACACATGATGCCTATATAGAGATGCATATATTTTGTGAGAGATAAAATAATACATCTATAAAAAGAATCTCACACAGAGTAGGGGCTGGAAAAATTTCTTATTAATGATGTGAGATAAAGTAAAATATTTGAAAAGGTGCCACTGATTAAATATATTATTCTGCAGGACTTAGAAAAAGGAGCATTAGAAAGTATAATCACTTTCATAACCTGGAAAAAATCTTTTCAGATTATTTAGTACCTTTGGTCTAATCTCCCGATTTCTACTAAATTTGTGACTTTTGAGCCTTGGTACTAAATACAGTGTACACTGAATTGTAGGTAAATTAACTTGTCATTGAAAAAGGTATTTGTCTCATTGAACATAACAAATGTGGATTCTGGGTGACTCAGTTCTCAAGAAAATTATGCAGATGACCAGACATTAGTCATTCAGCATTGCTTAGAAGGTGGCTCTGCCATAGTGACTTACCCTGGGGCAGCCACCTCAGGAGGCCCACCCTGAGATAGCCTGAGAGCTTTGCCCATTTATCTGGCATAACTACAATAATTCTAAACCTAGGAAGTTTAGAACGCAGAAATATTTGAAGCATGGGTGCTAAAGTATACTAAAACTCCTGCAAAGGTGCACATGTACAAATGTATACTTAGGATTATAAACATACATTTTAAACCAGGGGCTTTAAGTCAGACAAAAAGAAAAAAAAAAAGAAAATGCTGCCTTCCCAGCTCACACTTTTAAAAACTACACTTTTCATGGAGATTCCCTGAAAAACTAAAAGTAGAAGTAGCATATAAGCCAGCAATCTCACTACTGGGCATTCATCCAAAGGAAATTAAATCAGTATTTCGAAGGGACCTCTGCATCCCCATGTTTATTGCAGTGCTATTCACTTTAGCTAAGATACAGAATCAAAATAAGTGTCTATCAACTGAAGAATGGATTAAAAAACCACACACACACACAGAGGAATATTGTTAAGCAATAAGAAAGAAAGAAAGAGAGAGAGAGAGAGAGAGAGAGAGAGAGAGAGAGAGAAAGAAA